GGAAAGGAAACAAAAGGAAAGGAAAGAAGAAAGAACAAAACGCAGACCGAATTACTTTCCCTGTGGTTAGAAAATGATTTCAAATTCATGTTTTTTTAGCCCTGATAACTAAGCACCTGTCAGTCTGMCCTCAACATGAATAGAAAATAACATCAGATTAGAGGAGTTACGTGATAATGAAATAAGTATACCAAGGTATTTAGTCATTACACTAAAGGGCCATCATAGTCAGCAATAGTCATAACATAATAGTCTACTTTATGTCCTCGTAGTCGTAATCCTAGATGGTATTCTTATGAGTACGACACACCAAATTCGTAGCCGTACGTATCTTACGTAACGTTACCGTAACTCCAACGCGTCGTGGTTGAACTATGAATTACTCAAATACCATTGCAATAGAAAGCCATTTCAATGTTATGGCATGTATTAGGTTTCCAACTCATATAAAAATGGCTCTAAGACTAAACGTTTTATTATATTATTTTTAAATCTGCACAAAGATAGTACGTTTGATGGTACGTTCGATAATGTTGCCCGTTAGGTTTCCCACTCGTACGGAAATCGAAAAAGAATAAATGTTTCATCATCTTAAATTTGCACACTGATACATTTGATTAAACACACTAAAAGCTATCATTACCCTATGATAGCCGTATCATATATTATCGTAGCCGTAATTACGCGTTGTAGTTGGATAAATTACTAGAAGGTAATGCGAAGCCATTTCGATATTACGCCGATGTACCCACTCATACGAAAATCTTTCAAAGACTAAAAATTTCATCATCGTCTTAACAGTCTGCATAAAATATATGCTAAAACACTAAACGCTACCTACAGCTATTTCAAAAAATGTTGAATGCCAAATACCCATACTGAATAGTGCATTCCATGACCAAATGGCATTGTGGGTCTCGTTGATTTTGAAGGAACAGTAAATAAACAGCGATTTTCTCTCCATATGTAGCTAGTATATCGTTTTGGATGGAAAGCACGAAAGATGAAATAAATAATTATTACTTATTTTAGGCAATACTGATTACATAAGACCCAAAATGTATTTCGGCCTTGGAATATTCTATTTAGTACGCAGCATTCAGTATTCTGTTGTTTTTTGTTTCTTTAGAACAGCTGTATATTAGCGATAACCTTTATCATAGATTAGTAAAAGTGTACTGAGTCCGTTTTCAACCACTCGCACTATGATATAGAGTGTTCCAAAGTAATAGAAGGAGTTTTCATTATTCATGCCTTGATTAAATTTAGAGTGTTATTCCGAGTGTTTCGTCGCTTTTGAACGTTTTTTCGACAATTCACTTCAGAAAGAGAAAGTACTTCAAAACATAACGACGTTTTGATCTCTCCAATTTCAATAGGCTTTGACTAATCGCCGAGCATCTATTCATTGAAACGGAGTCATTAACAAGAAGCTGTGTATTTTTAATTTATGGAAACTATAAAACCAAAATTTTCTTAAGTGACCTTTTTATTCCAAACGCTTTAGTGCACTTTATTTTTAAACTTATAGACAGGAAATATCAACGCCAAAATCATGTTTCCATGTGACRATTTCTCTTTTAAATAAATTTGCAACAATAGTTAACCTTTTTATTGGATAGCAAACATACAACATCCTGATAAAATATAACATAAATCTTCTTTGCGGCTTCTTTGAGGATGTAAAATAATTAAGCTCACCATTATGACTGTTAAGATGAGATATTTTGAACCTCGTTTCTATGGTTACCTTTGGTTGTATGTAAAATTATTTAGTTCCACAATCATTGCTATGGTTACCGTTGGTTAACAAATGTTTCATTCTAATAAGCGTTACTTTGGTTACCTTTGGTGGTTTGAAGGGATAGTCTGTAGGGAAGTGAATGTCAAGGAAGAAAACTCCCTTGTCGTAGACAGAACCAGGAGGACCAAGAATAGTAGCATACCACTCGAATATGTTGTCTCCTTTGGGACCAGCACTAGAGAAAAGCGTAAAAAATATTGCATATTAGCGAGTTAATCTTAGTATAGAGCGTTTTCACATGACGCCACAGCCGCCATATTAGTGTTCTTTTGACAATAACTTTGTCATTATTTTCTTTCCAATGGTTGCCATCTCTATTGTCAGCAAACTCTCTAGGAACCAGTGTGAACGCTATCTTCTCGACTCAATGAATAAATAGCGAGATAAGTATCAAATGGTTGCCCTCGGGCAATTCTAGTTGCAGCTGCTTTATTACTTATTTACTTATTTAAACAAATTCGTCCTCATATATTCACGGCTCACTTTCTGGGCTTATAGATATTCCTCTTTTGGGTCATGTTACCATTCTCCGCCATGTTGAATGGCAGTTGCGAGCACGCTTATTCACTGGCACGAATAATGATWTCTTATCTATGAAACTATCTGTCATGGGCAAAGCATTTAGCTCTCATTCGTCATGCAAAATGGAAATTAGTCATAATGCTAATGTTCTTACATAGCGGTTAGCCTAAAGAAAGAGAGCTTTGACAGTAAGCCTCATAACTTAAGACACGCGCTGTACAAGTGATAGCTGCCACAGAAGGTTAGGAAACGTAAGGAAAAAAAGGAAAAAAGAGAGAGAGAGAGAGAGAGAGAGAGAGAGAGAGAGAGAGAGAGAGAAAGGGCTAGATTTTGTAAACCATGAACTTGATTCAAACTAACTACCAGACCATACTCGACCCATTCGAATTCAAATAAATCTTATCCGGCCCAACACTACATCCATTTCGTTCTCTCAAATACCATTCCATTCCATTCCCTTCCTTTTCTTATCCTATCCCTTTTCTATTCTATCCTATTTCATTCCACCAATTTAGATATGTAATTTCCTTTACCACTGGAAGGAAAACCATTATATCTTAATCATCAATATCTACTTAAAACCGTGCTGTCAAAGCTTTTACGCAAAACATTGGCAGCGAGAGAAGCAAAATAAGAAGTATCAAGATCTGCTTTTTTTTATTTTGTTGATGTTTTTTGTTGTTGTTTTTGTTTGCAGTTTGTTTTTATTTTACATAAGTAGTCTAAGATTACGTATTTCGAATAAAAAGGAAATTATTTTACATAAACAAAAAGAAAAGGTCAATTGAACCAAAAAAACCCGGCAGTTTCTTTAAATAATCTTCAAAGACGTTTTATTTACAGCAACTGATCATAATATTAATCACAAAAAGAGACTTGCTTATTCAACAGCAAAGCTATTAACATCCTGTCAAGACTATAATCAATATACTTGTGGCCAATGTCATGGTCTGCGGTCTCGTTCAAATTACAAACTAGTATAGGTAAGTTCTACCTCTATTAATGCATAACGAAGTCAACACTGCTTGTTGCAACATCGAATACTGTCGCAGAAGGAAACAAGCTGTCGTGTACAGATAAATGACGTCTCTCGTGACTATCTCTTTTTTTAATGAATTTTAATTATCATGGTTTGATTTGATAAAAATAATCACCGTACGCGAAGAATAACGAAATAATCTGGGAAAAATATAGAATGATATCATTTTTTAGGCTTTGATTTATATATCTAAGACTGTATAAACTATTTTGACTATTTAAATTTGGCGTGTAAACTTTTCGTCAAGAATAAACAAAATCGAAATTAGAACAGAATATAAATATTATTTCAAAATTACGGTTCAGTGATTGAGGTGAGGTTGCTTTCCTTAGGGGATCTTAACATCTATTTAGAACATTCCAGGGAGTCTTGCTTTGCAAAGATACATTCAATAACGATAAATCTCCAACGACAAGTATGCATCAATCACGTTAAAAGACTTAATAATTTGCTGAAGTATTTATATATATATTACTTACAACTTTGACCTAAATGTTCTAGGAAGTATCAAGTAAGAGTTGGACTTCGAATACGCTATAATATTAAAAGTATTAAGAGATGACAGATAGCGTGACCTTTTTGTACATTCCATACATTTTATTCGATTCTTTCGCCAAATGCGAGTTTGATAAGTTTATCTGGGCACTGATTYCTTGTAATGACATAAAGTTCAAGTTCGAACTCAAATCAATTTTTTTCAATTCAAATTATGTTAGAATCACTTTGAAATAAAACTGTCTTGGTTGGCACATTGGAATGGAAATTGCTGGAAAAATAAAGTTTATGTTCCTAACTAAACAAAATTCAAAGCGGTCTACTTTTGTCTAAAGCTTAACTATTCCTAGCGTTTTTATCTGAACAGAAAAAAGGAGAATAAATAAGTGCTATAAATAAATGCGAATTTGCATTTTAAAATTATTGAATAAATTTCGCCGAATATGACACATTTTATTATTCCAGGGTTATATATATATACCTGTCAAATTTTCTTAATGAAAAGCTCTTTAAAAAATGCAAAAGATCTCTATCCATGGTGTACATCGTAAAGCTTAAATATATTCAGATATAATCAAGATAATATGCCTAAACAAGACAAGTGAAACTCAAGCTATTCAAATCCGATTGTATTTATTTGGAAAAGGAAATAAGAACTTGATTAAATTAACTGGTAACCAATGCTTATTAAAAATCCATATAGATACTTTCTAGCGATGCGGAATGTTGGGAATTGAATTGTGTTGTTTACTATAAGAAAAGATGAAGAGATTTGGCCGAGAATTCGTTAGAGTCTAAAAGATGCATAATTAGTTTAGCTATTCAAATAGAAACTTGTACACAATCATACCCCACGTGGTTGGCATTCAAACACTAGTTATCACTTAGAGATAATTACTTGTGTTTTTCTCTGAGCCCCGAGTCAATAGGCTTTAAATCTTTCCATATCATCTAATAATGCTTTACTTTGAAATTTAGAGGAGCTAAAGCTAAGATTTTGCTGTTTGGAGATGAGCGCAAGGCAGCAGCTGATGAACGCCTTTGTTTGGTTGATAGAAGCATTACTTCGGAAGAAGACTCATTGGGTCTATTGTTGTACAAACAGCTCGTTGAAGAGGCTGATGCCGCTTAGTAAGCCCTGGCCTAACTGTACTGACCTGCAATTTGGCGGTGGATCAAGAGCTACCTCTGTCAGTTCTCGTTGAATTCTGGTTAATAAATAAAAAATAAACAAATTTAAAACTGGCTTTGAAAATTATGACCGCAACATCTAATATTCAGGCAAATCTAACGACATTCATAAATAGCAGGAAGCAAGGCTGAAAACCTAGATCCGTAGTCAAGAGTGCCGTATTTTACCATTTATTTCCATTCCTAATTCTTACCCTCAGAAAATCCCCGTCGTTAGGGAAAGCGATCTAATATAGATCCGATCTCGTACCTTTAATCGAAAGGCGAGAAAAAAGCTTTCGAAGTTAACATGTAAATAAGCTCGCAATGAAATTCTCGGATCATCTCGGCCGTGACCAGATACTAAACTTACAAACGATCTCTTGGCCTCATTTCAGGTACTATTTCATTTATGACTTCGCTTTATGAAATTTTGAAAATAGGAGAATATATTTTTAGCTCTCTGAGCAATTAGTTTTAGTTCTGAAGCGAGAGCGAAACTGCTCAAGTTAACATGCAAATTAGTCAGGCAGACGGCTCAACGCGAGGGACCACCAGGCTTGGAGTTGGATGCCGAACCAGTGTTTTACTTCAAATCCTTCGCATCGCGCTAATTTTCTCCGTTTCTCGTTCAAAAACGCCATAAATGAAAATTTATCAATTAYCTTATTGATCTGATAGGTTTTGAGCGAGATCTGAGCGCTTGAAGACGAAAGCGAATGGTTTGAAGTTAACATGCAAATGAGTCGGGAAATCAGCGGGGCGTGATGAGAGTGATATTTCAACTGGACAAGTGGTCGTTCTTTGTGACACAAATTTCAATGAAGCAAATAAACCTATTTTTCATGATCATTCTTTCTTCTGTTCGTGTTCCCACAAACGCTTTATTTTCTTCGGCCCATTCGTATTTCATTTGGTGAGCTGAATGCTATAAGATCCTGACCTTTTTGCAGCTGTCGGTAGAGGTTTTGAAACACGACTCGTGTTTGCTCTTCTGGATTCTCTCTTGTTTCTTTTCTCATCTCCACCGGCTTCACGGTTAGACTGAGAGTTACTCGATGCAGCAGACATTTCTAGAGTTTATAGACTCTAAATATTGGCTAAAACTGAAATCAATAAAGAATAAATACACAGAGATAATCGTTTTGGGTATATCACCCAAAGACTAGTTTATATAATGTACGCAAACTTTAGCCATGAGGGGATCGATATGACTCCAGGCTCTCAAATACTCACTAGAGCTAGGTGAGGATTAGTTCACTAAGATTGGCAATAGACCTAACTTGCTCAAAGAAAATATCTAGGTAGAAGTGTAGTGAACGTATCGCCGGGGAATTGAAGAACCTTTGATGATTTTTGAATCCTGTTATCATAATCATTTCTTTGAGCATCGTTCACAGACAAATAAAAGAAAATGGCGGACCTCTGTCTATGAGAGGCACCCATCAATATGTCCTCACTCAATACGTGTCGGTTATAGCGAGAATCACTATAAATTATATACCTACATGAAGTTTGAGGTGTGTAGAGGATAACTGTTTGAAATTCAGGATGGTTTGGAGTAATTATCTTTCCCTGTTCACAATTTAAAGTTAAGAACTTGCTCAGCTTGGTCGCTCGGCACTAGCAGCACGCGAAAGACTTCCCTGCCTGTCAAAACGGCTTGTCACCAGGCCGTCACTTTTTAATTATAGTTAGTACAAAAGCACAATTATTCGTTCAAGAGAAATCATCAAAAACACCAATCACAATAAGATTCAAAACATATTGACTCTGTCAATACTCGTTTATATCKTCATGTCATCAAGGTAGCGCTTGGCTTAATATCAAACTGAGTTTTTGTTAACTGAGGTTCTAAAAAATCGCCACTGTCGAGATGTGGTCTGTGGTCAACACTCTTACATAGAAAATAATTTCTTTAAAAGCCGTAAGAATTTTAAGGGAAAAACCCAATGTGAAATAATATTTCAGGAGTAACATATTGCCTAGTAAATTCGGCCWAGTAGTTTGAAAGAAACTGATTCGTATTAGAGGGATTACCAAGTTCCGCGCTATCAACTTGCATAGTAGTCGCGTTAAGACAAATTTGATCCTTTTTGCAATTTTCCCATTAAATAAGCATTAACCATACACAGTAGGTTGAATTCAAGCCTTTTGAGGTCATAAAAAAAACTGATAAATAAATTATTTTACACACTCGAGTTATCATTATAGTCTCAGCAATGAAAACTGCATGTTTCAATACGCGGTCATATTCTTTCTCTGCTAGCTCTTTTTAGCCTTCTTCAGTGGCTCGTAAATGTTTTCTAAATTTAAACGAATTAACCGGCTATTAAACTCCTTTCCCAATCAATTTCTCCTTTCATTCCCCCTCCATTTTTACAAGGGAGCAGCTTCGTATCTCAACTACTGTCAATGTATGTGTAAGGTAGCCGAGTGTTCGGCACTGACCAGACGCCATATTTCAAAGGCGCATCAGCCCTTTGTCACGGAACCACAGTATGGACTAAACTAAACACTACTTAAACTACATGCTTTTGTCGTCGATRAGGTTGTCGTTAGCAACCTTGCTTGAAGAAGGGCTCATATTTTCAAGAAACTTTTTCGAACGGAAATAATTAGCAAGCTTTATCAATACTTTATTGACGCCTGAATTGTACAATAATATTTGCTTTCGGTAAAATTCGCTAATTTTAAATCAAGAGGAATAACATAATCACTTCAAAAGTATCTGCACATTTTCTAGTAAGGAGGAGAGTCTAGCCAGTCTCAGCCTAACCATCTAAGTTACATATCTACAATGCCAAGCCAAGTCGATTTGGTTAGAATATTTATCTGATATAAATTAAAGTTGGCCCCCTCTTAGACTAAACTACGCGGTGTCACTCTGTTCTATGTTTATTTTTCTATAACAGGAAGCTATCAAAATCAGTAAAGGTTATCTCGAATTCAGGTTACCTATCTGAGTAAAACATGGACAATATATGCATAATACAAAAAATAATCTAGAGAAATAAAGAGAAAGTAAATAATGGTATTTAATTACTGTCGAGAATTTAAATATTGAATTACCGTCGATTAGCTGATATTGCATATGCATGTAATTAGCGAAAGAAGAGTGAAGTTTGAATGAATCGTACAAAATCATATATCCTGATAAACTTATGCTTGATTGACATATTATTGTCAAAGGCTTTCAATTTAGAAGACGAAGCAGTGTCGTGTAAAAGATAATTAAGAAAATATTATCAAAAATAAGTAGAACATATAAAAGACAAAAAGCTGTTCAGTTTCCTAAAATAACTTCCTGAATAAAACCAATATAAGTGAAGAAAAGGTACTCGATCAATAATTTACTTAAATYATATCTGAAGTAAATCTTGATATAACTTCAAATCTTTCTGGATTTGAGATGCAAATTGTAATCGAGATTTGATCAAAAAGTAAATTTATTTTTATCGGGATCAGCGTTGAATAATCTTTTCAAATTACAAAGTGGTTTCAATTCCACCTCCCTGTTTTAATACCTGGCATTCTAAATGTACTGAAACTTTCATTGGGATTCAATAATTCTCTACTGACCTTCGACTTCAAAAAGATCAATTCTATCCGGATCCTAAGAGTGAAAATATAATTCCTGACTAAACACGCAAACTTCACTGTATAAACTAGAATTCGTATTAAGTAAAATAATGACCACAAACGATTCGCTGTTACAACTTTGAACATGGGTGCCATTTACGTCTTAATTCAGTCATCGTTACTTAGTTTTTTAATGGCAACTTTTTCATCCTGATAGGTTTTCTTAAAAAAGTGAGTTTTTTTAATTGATTGATTTTATGTTAGTGCTTCACGTGGACCCGGCCGAGAGCCGAGAAATGCCGATCATTTCTCGGAAGCAATCTATCGCCACCATTCATTTTAATTGGTCTATTCCCAGGGGAATGCGGCTAGCATCTGTTTACTGACACGAGATCAGCATTGACCGAGGCAATAATCTTACGCGAGCCATCCAGCTATTCATTGGTTCAATAGGTAAAGTCTTCTCAACGCCAAACGATAGTGTTGACGATCAATCGATCATTAATCTGGTGACGGACTGGTGACAAGCGGTTGGATGGCCTCGGAACCAAGTAAAGTTGGGTGCCAAGCGACTAAGCGTCTCACTCAGTTTTATCCCAAAGAGACTCCCTTTCTCCTCTAAAATCTCAAAGGAATTTGGTCCAGTATATACAACACACTGCTTACTACAAGTAGGTATATATATCTTGATAGATTGAAGTCTTCGAGGGAGCGTTATTTTGAAGTTCAGATCAAGAACACACAAGAGTTGGCATCCGCCATTTTAAACGCCCCCTGAAGACTTCTCCAGAATCCCTAAACAGGAATTTCTAGCACTTTGAATGTTTGTCAAAAGGCATTAAGAGAAGTATTTATTGTCTGCTGTATCTTTTAAGCCGTATTGTGGATTAAGATTTAGAGAAGGGACGCTGTTTTGGCCAATGTAAGACCAAGAGTTACTAGCTAGATACACTGTATTTCTAATGGAAAGGCTTCCATAAATACGTCTTGTCTAGTACTGTCATTATCACATAATCTAACATGGGTTTCATTACCTCACCAAGTAGTTCTTGAACTCTGCGATTTCTTTGGGGCTTTGAGTCGGACAACAAACCGCTTCTTGATGTCGTCTAGAGAGACTAGAGAGACCAATGTCCAACCAGGGAGCCAGGAAACCTCATCGGAAGGAAGTAGCCGTGTGCTACCTAAGAGAGACAAAAAACCCAGCAGTACTTCAAGATTCACATCTAGGAACATCTCAGCAGCTTCTAAAAGGTTGGCTATCTAGCTAACCGAACAAATAAGTATTATATATTTATTTTCTATCCAATTTGCACACAATTACCTATTTATTAAGGGCCCTATTTTGTTTATCAGTCAACTATCGCAAGTGTTTGACTGGTGGCACAAGACGGCGGCCATCACGCCTTCGTCGCGATCTCATTTGCATGTTAAGTTTGCAGGATTATTACTCGCTCGGTTTTCAAGAAAATCGAGAACAAAAACCTTTAAAAGATAAAATATGTATCTAAGATTTATTATCCGTTTTTAAGAAGGCAATTTTTTTAAAAGACGAGACAAGGGAACGCATTTATGATTAAGCACTGGTCGCTACCATTTGCCAGTTGACGACGCAAGTCTATATCGTAGCCAAGTAATTTGCATCAAAACTAATTAAAGTGTTTTCGCTTGGTAGCACAAGTCAGATCACAGCAAGGAGCGCCAAGCATTATCCATTTAATGCATTCTCCTGTCATTAATTGTGTTCAGCCAAATTTAACAACGGGTCTACAATGATTGCGTTTGGGAATCTAATTTAATGAAGCGACCAGAGTGGTCGGTATATCTGTAAGATATTACTCAAGGGTCATTCCTAAACCCCGGGGGACTAATTCTACTTAGCCTTTAGCTAATTCTATTTTTGTTTTCCAAATCGACTATTAATACACGTTTTTTTATTTTTGTTTTTTGTTTTTTGTTTTTTTGTGGGGGCTGCACGTTACAGAATACAGCGAGAATTAGCAGAAATAACCATGGATCCTCCTCCAAACTGCAGGTACGTTTTTATTGTTGGGAAAACGACGTGGGTTGCACTTCACTTGTATTGTGTAACATCATGATGAATAACCCAGATATGTTTTACGCGTTGGACGTGCCATAGCACATACATATACATTTTATGCAATAACTAGGATACCATTGGCGGTCCCAAGATTACTCTTAAACTAATTTCAATCTAAATTTTGACACGTGATTCGATCTCCGGAATTCAAGACAATTTTCATTTACAAACACACAACGAGCGATAGTCCCTCGACTCGCTAGACGCAAGATATAATACGAGCGGTATTTTGATTAGAGGATAAAACTGTTTGACGGAGATAATTTTCCTTATTTACTTGCACATGAAACGGAAATTTGGCGTCATGTGTTGACGTTTATGCTAATGTATCCTTCCTTTCACAAGAAAAGAGGGGAAAAAACACCTGCTCCGAGAAAACCGATAAAGAATCAAAGGCTGCCAGCCTGCTATAGAGTATTGCATATTTGATAGCGGTCTCTATGGAGAAGACTTGATAATTATAAATCCACAAGCAATGGCTTCGAACATCTGTGAATTACAAACGTACGCGACCCCGTTATTTTTATACCTCTTTCGTTTGTTTCTAGGGCTAAAAACGTTTTATCGATATCTAGATCTGTTGACACAATGTTAAGACAGCTGTCCTTCTCCACTGATCGTTAGTTCAGCTTTCATAATTTACATATACCTGCGTCTAGAGTTTGTACTTGACTGCAGCAATATCGGTTTATGTTATCAAAGCATTTAGTTGCAAAGTCATTTGGTAATCGTACTAAATCGTACTGGCTAGGGCAAAAGGTTAGGACTGTTGCCGGCCACAAACTTACCACACTGTCAAAAAGTTGAATTCCGCCGAGAGTTATTTATCGATGTATTGTGTCTTGATTATCCTAGGTTTTGTAATATCAAAGAAGCATTAGACCCCGTTATTTATCAGGATTTTGTATTTATATTACACTTGTTTCCGCCTGTTCTCGGCTAGCTCGCCACCTTTCATCGCCGGCCGTCAAAACCCCTGGTAGCACATGTCGTCGTGAAATTATAAACAAACTTTAATTATAAACAAACTTTATTCAGATCGCAATGATTCTTCTTTCTATTAGTCTTTTCAAGTATATAGTTGACAAGTATACCACGATACTAATCCAATGTCTGTTTAGTTCACTGATAATGTACCCCAACGATATTCGACGTCACCAATCCGATCCTTAGCTCTAGAACGATTTCAACTCTTCGTTTTTCCCGTGATCTTTTTTGACGTACTGTTATATATATTTTTCATTTAGATTAATCGATTACGACGGTCCGTGTTCTTCTATATACATTGATCTGTTCCATTCTTAAGGGAATTAGAAAATAAAAGTAAAGATAGTGGATCAAATATGAAATAATTAATTGTAATTACAAAGTTTACAAGTAACACAGATGGTATGATTAACCTAATGAATATTCAAGCCGGCCTACTTCACTTGCGAAATATTTTTAGTACGAAGACTGGGTGGTTATAAGAGCCTGGCTGTGTACTATGCCATTCTACCTGTCTTTCTAAACATGCGAAATACTTCAGAGGTTTTGAATTCACAACTAGCGTGATACATCGACCGGTCGTTCATAGTCCGACCTTGACCGTTATAGAGAGGGTCTGCTAAGTAGATGTAAGTAGATATATCTGATAAATCAATCGAGATGGCCATCTTTTCAATTCAATTTGTATTCCAAAACACCAGACAATGAATAATGCATTGTCCTTTAATAATTAACGAGCGTGAACCACTCTGTTTTTGTTAATGAAGGTAAACTTTATAAAAGCACCGAGAAATGGTGAGAGGATTTGATAGAATATGACAAGAAGTGTCACTTGTCAAGGACATATCACTCGATCTCTCTTCGATCGTAAGATGACTAATGACTGATCAGCCGTAAAACAAACTTGTTTCTTTGAAAAGTCACGCTTTCTCGCTCATCCAGGGCTTCTTTCGTCGTCATGTAGCTAGCTCGATATTCAACTTTACAAGAAAGAGGATTTTAAAATATTATCTTTCAGTGGAGATAATGTTTCTGTTACTGTGAAAATCGACTCGTTTCACACAAACATTCTTTAGAGCAGAATTTAAGTGATTTACGAAAATGACGAATTGAAATAAAATATAAGGATTTTACAAGTTTTAAGAGTCTAATCCGTTTTGAAATATAAATATCGATAATAAAATTCATCGTCAAGACAGGTGTTATGATAAACTAAAGTGGCCGTTGAACAAGCAATTTAATCAAAAGTTCCAATAAAAAGATAATTATTATTTGAAGACTATACTGTGTTTAGTAATGTTTTTTTTCCTTCTTCTTTTCTTCTTCTTCTTCTTCTTTTTTTTTTTTTTTTTTTTTTTTTTTTTTTTTTTTTTAATTGCCAGACACAGATATAGAATTCCGAAAGCCAGTATAAATTGCTTTGAACAACGTCAAACGTCTAGAAAGAAACTCAAACGTCCGATTAAAAACAAGTTTGTTAGAATTTTTCGGCGTATATTAGAATAATAAAGGTCAACATTAGAGTATCATAACAGCTCATGCGGCCGTGCCGTGCCGCGTCGTGCCGTGATCCTGACCGACCAGCTTGATTGGATAAATACTAGTAACCTCGTGAGCTATGATTGGTTCATTCCGGTGCATTTTTCGCATCCATCTGAACTCCACTCTATGAATTTCATTCCATTTTTATGAGATTTTTCTCACTTTTATGATGACCTGTTTCTTGCTTTATAGCTCTGGTTTACCGCCACTTTCAGTGTTATGCACATGCTAGAATTTTCCAATCTAAGACCCCCCCCCCCTCCCCAACGTTTGAGTATTGTCCGCTTGTCACTTGGTTTCCTCTTCTTTAACGACTTGTATTTTTGAATCCTTTCCAGTGCTGGTCCCAAAGGAGACAACATATTCGAGTGGTATGCTACTATTCTTGGTCCTCCTGAATCTGTCTACGACAAGGGAGTTTTCTTTCTCGACATTCACTTCCCTACAGACTATCCCTTCAAACCACCAAAGGTAAGAAATAAGTCTAAAGCCATCAGTCTTGCTAGCCGTTAGATGTCCCCTCAAATGCCGATAATTAATAGGGGCTTAAAAGATTTGCAAAATCTACAACCGCGACATCAACYGGAAGTGTAAAGAACTTTACTTTGGGGTTTCGAAAGTCTGTCTTTCTTGGAATGAGTTGACTTTACTGACAATATTTTGAATAAAATCTCCAACGAACAGAATCCCAAAGAGAAATTAATTTACTTTCTGTAATCGTCGTCGTCGTCGATTTCGCAAATCCTATGTCCTTAAAATAGTGTAGAGACCGGATGAACAGAAGGTCGTGGTGATAAAAGCACTCAACTGAAATATCTGTTGAAATTAGTGGCACTACGTCTTAAGTTGCCGTAAATAGATTGCGTGACGTCTGTGCTATGTCAAGAGAGAGTGGCTTGCATTATTAATAATAATAATAATAATAATAATAATGAAATATTAATTTATTTTCCAAGGTGTCGTTTAAAACAAGAATATATCACTGCAACATTAATAGTCAAGTAAGTTTTTTATCATGACGCATACATTTGATATCACTGGCAGATCTCGGGGATTAGCACACCGCTTCCATACCCTCCATATCCATCCATATTTATTAATTAATTAATCAATCCTCATTTCCCTTTTTTTCTGTTTCTCCTTGTTTCCTTCATATCCAAACATAAAACAAGTTCTGACGTGCATATCGCCCTCTATTCTGACGTATCAACACGAATTGCAAGTAAAAGCTATTTTATGTCACACGTAGACTTGCAATCTTTCTATCAGGATACAATTTTAATTTCKTCCTTAGATTTGTTTCGTATCGGGCCGTTACCTGATTTCAACACTTGTAGAAGCGATCGGAATGCTGAAACTAAGAGTTGAGGGTCATTTTAATGTCATTCCTCGCACGGCATATCAACGCACGTACCCTGCTTAGCTTGTTCAGTATACATCGACAAAACCCTCAAGAGAGCTATCATCATGAWCACATTCTTCATAAAACTGATCTTTTTGATAGGGTACAATCTGTCTCGATATCCTCAAAGACGGATGGAGTCCAGCTATGACAATATCTAAGGTTTTATTATCTATTCGCTCGCTGCTAGCGGACAGCAATCCTGGTTAGTATATCTTTATATGATAGAGTAATGGGGTCTGGGGGGGAGTGTGTTAGGAGTTGGTATTTCAAGGTTAACTTCATAGACTTCATAATCCTTTACAGCGTTTCTCAATCACACGCGCGAAATCGTAAAAATTTCTATCGCGACAAAATAAGGTTTTGGTGGACGTCAACCAAAGTGTTTCCATAACATTGCCGGAAAACACAGCTTTCGTGCCTATGGAATGTTGTGAAAAAGCCTTGATTGACGTCCACAATAACCTATTTCGTCGTGACGGCAAATTATACGATTTCGCGCAAGTGATGGAGAAGCACTGAAACGACTTTTACATTTATTCATAGCCTATTTTGCTCAAATGTTCAAACTGTATTTTGTTATATCTTTACGAGCTTTTGCTGGTAAATAAAGAAAAGCTACTCAAGGGAATGACGCATGGTGTGAATTAATAATAGATGCATGGATTAATTGTAGTTGATATTTGATCACAAGTTTACGCATCTTCCGTTCAAATGGTAATCTGCAAGCTTATGTCGACAATCGAAGATTCCCATCGCTTTACTCCCAGGTCTCAAAATATTTTGTAACTAATCTCGGTAGATAATTGGATAGCCTTTAATATCACTCTGAATGTATTATCTYCCCGACAGCTGATCCTCTGGTTGGAAGCATCGCCACACAGTACCAGACAAACAGAGAAGAACACGATAGGATAGCAAGAGAATGGACTAAACGATATGCTACATGAAGAATCAAGGGCGGTTTTCACTTTACTAGGGTTGTTATGGAAGTATAAGCACAGACGCGAAAATTCAATGGAAAACATTCATGGTTTGCTCTCATTCCCAAGAGAGTCGAGACATTGGCCATGCTGGTGGTATATTAACAAAGTAAACTAGTCAGAAATCTTGTTATAAACCTCCAACATGGCGGCGATGACGTAATGTGCCATTATATATATTTTCATCAACCGGTGAAGACCAAACAAAAATTATATATAAATCTATAGGAAATCATTATGGTATATTAAATATTTATGTACATTCTTTAAGAAAATACAAAACAATACAACAACAAATTAAAGAKGGCACTAATGCCAATTAGAATCAAATTAAAACGGCTTCGCCCATCTACGTTAAAATTCATTTATAAATTATTTTCATGTGTGATTTCACCATCTAACAAGTCCCTCGACYAAGCTTTTATTGCCTAGCTATCTGTCTTGAATTTTGGAAGGGAAGGGTGGATGGGGGCTGCTGCGTGAGTGCATCACCTCCTCTCAGAATATTTGAAGACGACTTAAAGAATAGTAAATTGACGCTTCTTTCTTTCTTTTTTTTTTTTTTTTTT